TATATATATATATAGACAAACGTTAGGCGTGATTTCTTCAAATCCCCTCGGACTACTCCCCCTCTCCCTCCGCTTGGCTGCATTAGAAAACAATCCGGCCATGAGGAAAGACAAGAAGAGCAAACCGACAAAGAAACAAATCAGGAGGCAGGTGCCTTCTAAGCGCGCCAACCCCCCTCCTGCATCCGTCATGTCACTCAACATAAAACATCCCTGTCCCCATCCTCCTCCCTTTGCCTCCCGCCGCCGCCGCGTTTCCCTACAAATGTTTTCATGAATGAGTTTACGGGTATACTTATGTACGTTTGTCGCGGTGCCTCAAATTCATTTCAAGGTGGCTGCCGCATTTGTTCCCTCCTTCCTTTCCTTTCTACGCTCGCGCCAGACCACCTGCGCAAGTAAAAACACAGAGCCGAATACCGCACCAGGCCCCAACTCCCCAACTGGGCGCGCCCATGCCCCTTTCAGAGCCCCGCAGCTTCCATTCTTCGTCTATCCACGCCTGTGACCAGTTCCCTCTCTCTCTCCCTCTTTATTTGTGTTTTTTTATTATTTGGAAATTTCCCTCCCGCTTTTCCCCCTCCCACCCCAGCCGCTTAAAACGGGGGGAAAAAATATCCTCTTCACTGTTATTAATGTCCGCCACGTCGTCGTCGCTGAAACCGGTCGTTACCATTCTTGCCGCCCCTGTTCTTGTTATACCCGTAGGCTTGGCCACGGGACCTCTTCCTTGCGTGTTCCTCCGTGCCAGGGAGAGGTGGCAGCACGCCCAACTGTCCGGCGCCGGGTACAGCCGTGGCGGCCGTGGTTTTTGCCGCTGCCTCCGGCTCACGTCCGCGTTTGAGGGTGGGCAACTTGTTCTTGTGAAGCCAACTCTCTGTGAAGGCGCCCATCGGCATGTGTTTGCCGGAGAAGGCGCTTAGGATGGTCCGCACGTTGTGGCAACAGGCAAGCACCTCGGCCTCCTTTTGTCCCGCCACCGACCTCTGCATACGCTTCTTGACTGCATATACCAAAAGTGGTTCCAGCCTAGTGACGAGTTCCGTCAGGCCGTTGCACTTCGCGGCAAACGCATCATCATTCAAATGCTTCAGCATCTCCACGGGTTTTTTATGTCCCACTGCCATGACGGCAAAGAGGAGTACCTCGAGGGTTGTCACGTTCTCCGGCAGCGCAGCACCGTCTTGCATGACGTGGTCCAGCTGTCCCAGCACCGCGTTGTAGACCTTGTCGATGTTGTCGGGCGTGGCAAGCCGAGCTGCCAGCAACAGCACCTTTGCGTGCCACATACCTCGCGCAGTATTGACCTCGACAGGCGTCGTCAGCAACCCCGCCTCCTCGAGGACGGGCACGAGGTCGTAGGGAGTGACACCGACACACTGTCCAATAATACTTAGCGATTCCAAAGCACGATCTGTGTTAAGCGTATTTTGCGCCAAAAAGGCCTTAAGAAGAGGCACACCCGCCTCTGCTTGCACCATCGGCAATGCGGCGGCGATGCTCGTGAGTTGGACAAATTCCTGCACAGTGACTGTTGAGAGCACACGGACAAGGAGACTCAGAACATGCTCCTGCACCTCCTCCGTCCACTGCGAGTGCAGGGAGGATGCGTGTGCCACCTTCCTTAGCCGCGCCATGGCCATGCGTCGCTCCTTCTTCAGTTGCTCTTCACTCTCTGTCTCACGATTGTCGCTTATCCAGTGCAGCAGCTTCGTCACGACAGGACGGAAGGCAGTGTGGATAAGGGAGTCCAACGCCTTGGAGGCAGCTTGTCGCACGGCCTCCGCAAATCCTTCCTCGTCCAGCATGACCTGCATCAGCACATCCGCCCCCTCACGGGACAAATACTCCCACTTCTTGTCCAGCACCGAGACCGGGCCTAGCGACGAGAGCCCCTGCACAGCGGCGACGAGAAGTTGCGGCGTGTCCTCTGGCCCACTCAGGATTTTAACGAGAGAGGTTACAATCTTTTTAAGGGCATTGCCGTCTCTCAGGTGCTGCCCGTAGTGGCTAATAAACTCTAGGGTACGCACACGGACCAGCAGCGGCGCGTCCGGGCTTTCCGCGTCGCTCAGCGCCTGAAGTAGTTCCCGCACAAAATCATTCACTTTCGCAGGATCTTCCGCAACGGCAGCTTGAAGTGTCGCGTACAACTCCGCCGCGCTGCCGCCAGGGCGCGACGCCTCATTTGGCGGAGACATCGGTGGCGTGGTGGTTGTGGCCTCCACCGTGGCGCACTCCTCAGCCTCCACCTCCTTTGCGGCGGCAGCCTTCTTCTTCGGGGCCATGGCCGGCGTCAGTGGGATCCTTTGCAGCTGCAGCCGTGCGTGGGGTGGGAGAGCGAGAGATAAAAATACCCCTCCGCCTCTGCGTCGAGTATCACGATGGACCTCCCGCGCGGGACGGAGAAGCAGCAAGCAAAGGGACAAAGAAACATGGGCAGAAGGCCGGTGCCACGAGCAGCAGTTCAACCACAAACACGCGCACAACAGAAACAAAAAAAAAGGCGAAGAAGACGGGAAAATGACAACAACTGAACAAAAACTCCCAAACACACATACGACCGTTTGCAGAAGAACCGCTAACGCGGCCCACACAGACAAATAAATACAAAGCCTACATGCGTGGGAGAAGGCGAAGCACAAACCCCTGCGGCGGACGCAGCCAAACAAAAACACGGTGGCTCGCATACCCGAGAGTGCGGCCTCACACCCGCGAGTTTCAGTGCCGCCACACACAGCCCTTCACGTCTTGTGAACCTCCAAAACGAAAACTGGTGCGGCCTCGCGCGAGAGTCTAAAAAGAAGGGATATGCAACTGATGCAGTACACTCCAAGATCCACACTCTGGGGTCAAAACAACGCGACGACGAAAAGAGCCAAAAAAAGAAACGAAAGAAAGAAAAGCAAAAAAAAAAACTAGACAAAAAGCCCACACATCTTTCTCCCACCCTCTCCCCCCTGCAGCGTCGCTTTTGTGCCTAAGGCGGCCACTACCATTCACCCCGTTTTAGCTGAACGCAGGAGGTTGTACATGTCCAAGGCGGCAGCGTAAAGCGCCTGCGTAAAGTCGTCGGCAGAGTACCGCGGCCCCCCTTCTTTCCAGCAGGACACGTTAAACGCCAGCGTCTCCCGATCCGCCGCGTAGCCAATGCCATAACCGGGACTTACAGGCCCAAAACCGCCGCCAACAAGTGCGTCTGAGCGAAGTGTAGAGGTGCTCATCATGTTACTACAAAGTGTTGTGTACGAGGGACTTGAAAATAGATCCGGAACACGGCACGGATTACGGCGTTGTGCCACCTTCTGTAGAGCAAACAAATGGCGATCCACTCCTTCACCCATTTTGGCATTCTTGGAAAGCTCGGCGTGCTTTCGCAGGGCCTTAAACATCGCCTCAACCTTCTCGCTAGCAGCGACGTGCGGGGCGTCCATCAACATCGTGAAGGCCTGACTCTCCATCGTTGCGGAGCGGATGCATTCCGTACGGCCGTGACGATACGCTGCTGTACTGGCACTCTCATACGTGCTAACTGTACTCTTGTACAATCGCCACCAAGCCAGCTGCATCACCAACTGCAAGAACGGGTCACCCTTGACGGGCCCCGTGCGGAAGATGGGATCCGAAGTGCCCACTTCCTTTACAATGCATAAGCTCAAATCCATTCGGCGAATATCCGCGTCAAGGCGCAACTTTGCTTTGACACCCTCCTGCTCCAGTTTATGCGTTAGGCGCCACCGTAATTGTTTCACGCCTTCAGTGGGAGCCGCATCGCGTCGCATGCTTTTGCTGCTGCGCATGATGGAGTGGTTAAAGATGTCTTGCGTGGACCGTAGGACGGCAACCCCGTCCCCCCAACTGTGCTCAAAGTTGATGGCGAGAAAACCGTCCTTCGTTACAATGACCGAGATGCTCTTGTCCCACCAACGGTTCGTGTTCTTTACAAGCGACACGCGAGTGGCATCGACAGCACCACGACAGTTCAAGAAGTCCACGTCCACGTCGTCATCAAGGTTCATTACAAACATAGCCGAATCAAGCAATTCAAAGTTATTTTGATTCTCGTTGTCGCGCAACATCTCTGTACGCACAGCGTGCCACGTTGGCCGGTCCGTGGATGTAAAGACCCCAATATCCACCTTTGGCGGACTTGGGTTCAGGTCAATGATGGCCTTCAGTCTCGCGTAGATCTGCTCCTCCGGAAGCGGCCTGCACTCGCTGTCGGCAACATTGACAACGTACTGGTGACCACGGAACTGCACAATGATGTGCGGCGTATAGCTGAAGCATCGAACCTCATCCTTCAGTGTCCCAGGTAGACGTGTAGAATTCATCAAACTAGAGTACTGCGACATATCCAGCGGAAAGGCCTGAAAATTTGAGCCGAACACACACACCTTTGCGGCAATAGACCTTGGCGAAAGAGCCACCGTGCGCTCAAACCATTGCCTCCTGCTGTAATGACCTTCTGGAGCAAAACTGAATATATCAGGTTTCAGCGTATTCTCAAGATACATACGGTAAAAGGCCACACTGCTGGTAATCCAGAATGTTGCACGGGTGAGCATGTCCGGCTTGTCCTGGTCGCGTCTCGTGAGCAGACACGGGTTTGTGTTGATCGGCAACGGCCGCCTGTCTGAAAGGTAAAAATCAAACCAGTCCGCCGAGATGTAGGAGGTGTGCTTGTTTGCCTTGTCGGTGCGCACCAACTCCTCCTGCAAGACACGCCCCTCACCCGATTCAAAGTCATTCACAATTTTGGTGGTGGCTTCAAATTGTTTTGGTGAGACCAACGGCTTGACGGCGTTCAAGTAGCGGGAACACGTATTTTTTAGCTTTGGAACCGGGAGACGAAAAAGACTTCGCTGCAGGTGTCGCGTTGGGATGATGGAGGCATCCAGGACGGTGCGGTCGGTGCAGCCCCCGACGGTGCTCTTTTCCAGGTACTGCCGTAGCGGGGCCCAGTCATGAATGTCAGCTGGCAGCGCAAGCGGGCCCGACGCAGTCGCCAACACGCAAGAGCGGCGCAACATCGATCACTTTCCCTGGATAATGCTCTTGTCGTTGCTGTGGCCTTTCCTCTCCGTTGCTTCGTTTTGCTTTGTTGTTGTTTTTCTTTTCTTAAAGGAAAAAATATTGGTTTCCCCCACGCTGTTGCGTTGCGTTGCGTTGCGTTGCGTTGCGTTGCGTTGCGTTGCGCGGCGCGCGTGCGTGCACCCGGACCGAGGCAGCGATGGCGCGTGCAGGCGGCAAAACAAGAAGGGGGAAAGAAGGAAGAAGGCGGGACACAGAAATCGGGCGGCGCGGAAAGCAAAGCGCCGCGCAGTGGCGCCAGCGCGCACCCGGAAAGCAGGAAAGTGAAAAATAATAAAAAGGCCATGCAAAACACACGCAGAAAAAACAAACAAAACAGCAACAACGAACAACAAACACTAGACG